CAAATAGCATGAGTTGTTGCAAATATGCACACAATTATAAGGAGCTCTGTGGATAAAATTGTTCTTGAATTTACTCACAATGAAGGTTCCATTTAAATTCATTTAATATCAGAGGGCAATCAAACAGATATGAATTTCATTCTATTTTTCATTAACAGGCCTGAATTTCACTTAAACACATTTGAATTGGAAAGATTAATTCAACACACCAGACATAAATTATAAATTTATTAATTTCACAATTATACCTGTGTGGAACTAGAAACAATGTCAATAACATAAATTATATACCTCACTTAAGTAATCCAGCAATCTGATTGGTTCCCGGTAACCATGGTTAAAAAACAGTTCAAAATCCCAATAACCATGGTTATTGGGAAAATAGGTCAGTCTCCATGGTTACCCCATAGGTTTACATGTTAAAAAATGGTCTGAGCGATCGAGGATACCGTACGTGTGCGAAGAATTGGTCGGTAATTTCAATACAATTGAATCTCAATCGATCTTACCGACAATTTTATCTTGCATTGTTGACATGAAGACGAAAATAAACTTCCAAAAACAAAAAAACAACATCTGCCGATAGATCTTGATCTAAGTTCGTGCCAATATGCATTGCAAAAGTAAAAGAAGGGCCCGTTTAATGGAGCAGCGGCGAAGCATCGACCACGCGAAGCCGTTTTCAATTCATTTTAAAGTATATATTAAAGAAAACTACCATGCATGGTGACAGTGCGCGCTGGCCGAGCGGTTTGAGGCGCTGACTGTAGTTTCATCACCTTTTGTACGCAAGAGTTCGAATCCCATCTTCGACAATTTTTTTTTTTTTTTTTTTTTTTTTTTTTTTTTTTTGGCATATAAAAGTATCAATGACTGCTTTAATATTCGAGAAATAGTTATTTTTATACGCTCTCGGGAAGGTTACAATTGGGCTATTCCCCTCGGCACGCCTCGGGTAATAGCACAATTCTAACCTTCCCTTGAGCGTATAAAAACAACTATTTCTCTCAAAGCAGTCATTAATACTATAATAATGAACAAATAATGCTAATTTAAAATCTAGGGCCCATCAATAAAAGCTGGAACTTGGCACATGATCCTTTTAGAAGATAATGATCTTAAAATAAAGAAAAAATGTGAAATCATGGAAAATTCATTTTCTCTTCATGTGTGATAGTGTATAAACGGGACAGATTATCATGCAGAATGAAATGTTGAATGAGACATGTATATTCCAGCTCTTCATTTGTAATCTAAGGTTCGCAACTCCCTTTGTAAAACCAATTTCTTTTCTGCTTGCTATTCTCCCAGGGTAAAACATGTATGTCTACATGAATGGAAGCTAATGATAATCACATGTTATTTGTTAGCCTTCATTCAAACATGTAAATGATGGATTACATTTTAATCATTGGAAAATTAGTTTCATATACTTAAAGTTGTATACATCATTTGCTTTTAACTATTAATTATTGGTATACACATTGCAAGACAGTCTAAAGAGGCGTTCTTTTTTATATTAGGTATGCACATGTAATTATGAAAATGTATGTTGTTATCTTAAAGGAGCTACACAAAGAAAATTCACTAACAACTCATAATTAGAACAAATTACATATGGATGGAAAGATTTTCTCTTGAAAAACTCGAACAATGTACTGAGAAATCATATAGATATTATGAAAAGGCGTAAAATTCAATTTTTCAAGACCCTCCTTAGACCCCTGAACGCCCCTGAACGTAAGTCAAACACACAAGCGTAGCGAGCTCTGAATAGTGACGTCACACACTGGTCAAACAGCTCAGTGCCGTGTAGCAGTATGCAGCTAGCCAGCCGTGTCCCGTTTGTGACGTCACAAATATTGACGCTCTACAAAGGACCGCTGAAGGCAGAAAATCTGGATCTCAAAACTAACATTTTTGAGAGTTGATTACTGCCGGCCCCAAACATATTTTGAAGAGAAGAGTTGTTGTATTTGATCGACAAGGCTTCCCCTTCGCAATGATATGAGTTTTGCATAAATTAAAAACACTTTTGATTCTTTGTGTGGTTACTTTAAGGCTTACGTAAGTAGTAGCTGATCAATACCTACATTTAAATGTGGCATATACATGTAATCAAAATGAGTATATTTTTAACAGATGTTTCCAAATCAATTATTATGTAGCCCAAGGAAATAGGATTTCAGGGCATAGTATATAAAGATATGTTTATCTCATTTTTATAGGTTTTCCCTTGGGAAATTTTCAAAGTTAGTACAAAAAAAAGTTAATTCAAAGTTTTGGTATGGGGTCATGAATTTGGTTCAAATGAACATATTGGAAGCATATGCGATCCTACAATATACATTGATCATTGTCGCCATCGAAATTGAGTCTAAAATTATGAAATTGTAAATAATAAACTCTTTATGTTGCATAACTCCCTCTCAAGGTCGAGATATTAATTAAGCTATAATTATAAAACAATGTTTCTTGACTGCAATCAACCGATTAGCTATTCCTGTTTGGAAATTATGTCACAACTACATAATTTTAGATTTTCATGGTTGTAGCTACCGTTGTACGGCCGTAGGCGCTATTTGAAATTTATCAAAATTTATCGGGAGCACCAGTAAATTTTATATATGATTATTCTCAAAGGTAGGAGCGTTTTAGGGGCTAAATTTTCTAGTGCTCATAATACATCCACAGGGGCATCCAAATATATCAAAATTGTAAAGAATCACTATCCACCCAATTTTCAAAATTTCCCCAGTCAAAGTCAAAGTCAAATTTTCCTAAAGTTTTTTTTTGACTTCCTTAGTCCAACTATTTTTTTTGCAGTCACAACAGATTTGACTCATATTGAACGGTACACGTACTGTGGGAATGACTTTATTTAATGGTAGGCCTTTACCTCAGAATTTTTAAAAAAAATAATGATAATACAAATAATTACTCTGTTTTTTTCTAATTACACCTGTATTTTTATTATCATCATAAATTATAGGGTTTCAGAAAGCAAAATTCTTTTTCTAACTGCAGTTATTGAAGTTATCATAGACAAAATATACTGTACTAGAAACCTCTTTAAAGAATCTCAAATTAAAAAAATCTAACTTCACCTAAACATTGCCGTATTAAAGGGCTATAAAATTTGGAAGAAACAAGTAGGCCACGATCTCGTTTCATATTGAATTTTAGGAGCTTGATAACTTCATATAAACAATGCCTTATTAATATTTGACCACAAAATACATTGAAGCCACAAGCGGGGCTTTCCATGCTTCACATCGATACCACAACTATTAAGCACTTTTCAAATACCTCTCCCTTGGTATTTCCACTGTGCAGCCTCTTGAATCAAGAGTCTCAATTAAATTACAAATCCTGGCTGCTAGCAATTTGTTATAAAACTTATAAACCTTGCATGCAAACATGTCAATATATCAATGTACATGACTGTACTATCCGTGCTGTAATCTTGGTTCCTCTATTTAATTTGCTTTGCCAAATATGTAGCGGATAACAAGAGATCATATACAGCACTTAAAAGTTACATGTATGGTGTAGAATATATGGCATTATTATCCTACTTGCTGCTATTTGCCATTACTGCAGGGGTTGTCATTATTTATATCATTGTGACCATCAATCATTATCATCATCATCAACATTCTGTGATTATTAAGACACTTTAAAATGATTGATGAAAATAATGTCCATATTATATTTATTCTTGGGAACCTACAAAAACAAGCTATATGCTTTCCAGTAGGTTTCCTGTTTCTTTTCATAATTTTGAACTTACTTTGTCAAATATGTTTTTATTGTGCAACAATTGATGTATGACATGGAATAAAATCAATCAAAAAATCAATCAATTCTTCCTCTTACCATTAGCAAGCATTGAGCAATTAATGCAGTAACCATACCAGGAAATAAAAATAAGTAATCAGAAATATTGTGCAACAAGGGAAGTTGAATGCTACTGCTGACAGCCATAAGAAAACAGAATTGTAGAATTTCAGTCTAAAATACTTTATGTAAGATAGGTATACATGCATATTTAGATATTACTGTACAGATATTACTGTCCCTGAATAAAAGAAACCGGGTAACAAACGCTTATTGAGAGTGACCTATGAGCCATACAAACAAATTCTCAGCTTTTCAAAAAGTAAAAGTAATGTACTTTTGAATGATACTTTGATTAAATTAATCAATTCACACTTCACCAAGCAACATTGTTTAGAAAATAGCATGTCAAAATCTGATTGAGCAAGATGTTGGTAAAACATTGATAAAGTGATATAGAATGTAATCCTTTAGATATAGGGGTAACATGTATAGAAATCACTATGTGATAATTTTGCTTTCAATTTTGAAGGGTATATTTTTCTTACATCATTTGCCAGATCAGTAAACTGTCCAACAACTGTCAACTTTCACTTTCAAATGATAAAGTGTAGATTTAATGTGGTTTCGTCTTACAGTAAGTATGAGGGTACCTTGAGATTCAAGGGCAATTTAAAGTGCCATTTAAAGGTAGGCTTTACTACTTCAGCAAGAAGGGATTAGACCGCCCAGCGAGCCAGCGAGGTCACTGTGACAGGTGGCTATCTCATTAACTCAGCTCTCATTTAACATAAGAAAAAGAAGATCATGGGGGACCAACAGGCACCGATTGGGGAAGTTTTCTATATAGAGGGAGCAAGTAGCTACAAGTAGGACAGTGTGCCTTTAAAACCCATCCTGGCTCTTATAAGATGATATCTGTAACATCTGTCCTTCAATTTATTCGCTAGTCAATCCAGCACAATCATGGTTCATACCACTCAAGATCACGCGATTGAATATTAAACTCATGTCAAGTCCAAGGATATAAATTACCAATCCTCCCTCTCTCTCACATGGTGCAACTGCCAGCCTACTGTATAGCCATTATATTGTTAGTCTTATACCCAGGCTTTATTTTTAACTTGACGATATTCAAATATCCCTCTACTACGTCTTACCTGCAAGGTTAACAGGTTGAGTGAAGATATCTTGTCTTTCCGCTTGAGTCCTGGTATCTACCTCACAGAATTGAGCATAGGTGGGACTATCTGAGATGGTTGTTGGTGTCACAATAACATCCACACCATCCTCAAAGGCCGCCTGGAAATCCTGGGCTATGAGACGACGAACCCGCTGTGCATGTAAGAAGTAACGCTCATAGTTCCTGAGAGATCAACAACAAACAACAACTTTATATAATAATAACAATAATACCATACTCAGTTTTTATATAATGCTTATACAATCACTAAGCGCTTCCAAACTTGGAGATTATTACCCCGGCTTTATGCAACCATACATTCACAAGGTTGAATTGCTATCAAAGTGATTTGTCAAATCTTTTAAAAAATCTTGTCACTTACATTTTGCCACAACCATTGTTAGCAGAGCTGATTAATTTACTGGAGAAAATTGTGAACTTAATCAAAATATATGTATTTTGAAGAAGAAAAAACAGATGATAACTTTATGCAATCATACATTCACAAGGTTGAATTGCTATCAAAGTGATTTGTCAATTTTTTTGACAATCTTATTACTTACATTTTGCAACAAACATTGTTAGCACAGAAGTTGATTAACTTACTGGAGAAAATTGTGAACTTAATCAAAATATATGTATTTTGAAGAAGAAAAAACAGAGGATAACTTTATGCAAGATATGAATAACAACGCCTGGTCAATGCTAAGGTGAAATTATAACAAGAACCATAAGTATACATTATATCAATTGATGTTGAAATAATTTTAAACTCCTCAAGTACATCAATGAACAGTTGCTCTAGATTCTCACTCTACCCAGACACAAACAATTTGCACTAATTTTGGATTAGAAATAAAAGGTTTTATACAACACTACAATACTAATCATGAATGTTTAATTTCTATATTAATCAATGATATTGTTTATTGTTATTACTACAAGTATTGAGATTTGGATATAAATAAAGTAATGTATAATTTTGGTCATATAGATACATGCAGAAATGTATCATATGTATATACATTTAATTATCTTCAGTAAAAACAGGCATTTACAACAGCCAAATGTTAGAAAATGGACAAGGAAATTACAGCTACATCCAATATGTTTAATACCCACTGTCGTTACACTTTCATATCTAATTATTAGACACCCTCCATTTGGATACCATGACAATCAATCAATCTATTCATTAATATTTATGAATATATTTATAAATAGTGGGTATTGCACTTTATATAAATATACTGTATACATTAGATGATAACCAATTTGTTTGATTTTTTGTAACAAGGACATATGTTAAGGACCCTGTCAAAAGTGTAAAAATTGAATAGATGAATTATATTTCAATGGAAAGCTTATAGGCCAAAAATTACAATGATAGCACTTAAAAAGGGTGTACGCTATTTTAGTGTCTGTCAGGTGAGTAACAGCTCTCAAGTAACTTGAATCTAAATCTTTGTAAATCAGAAAAGGGGGAACTGGAATGATAATATATGCTATCCATAATATATTTTGAGTAGTGCCCCAAGGAAGAATAATAATATAATATTTAAATTTTATATAGTGCTTAATACAAATATCTCTAAGCGCTTTACAAAGATGCATAGGAAGAAAAACGGGAGAGTTGTTCGCAACTATGTCACAGCTCGTAAGTGCGAAAAGGTCAGGAAAATCTGGACAAATAACTGTAGAATCACTGTGCTAACTAAGGAAGACAAGAAGGTGAGGATCTCTTTAGAACGTGACATTGAACAATTATTGTAAATTATATCCTCACATTCTCTTATCTGTTTAATTGCCTATGTACATATAAGTCATGTTGCCCAAATATCCTTGCCTCGTATGTTTAAGACCTGTTAAGAATAATCAAAATGCTATTCTTTGTGTGAGATGTTCACAATGGATCCATTTTTCGTGTTCTTCTCTTGATGAAGACTTTTTCTACTCTTCATCTAATTGGATATGTAATAAATGTATTTTTGATGAATTACCGTTTTATTCAGAAATCACTGCTGAGGAACCTGAAAACATTAATCATGTAAATGATGCGAGAAGTATTTTTTGTGAGAAAGGGTTAGTAAACAAAAAAATTGGCAAAGGCTTTGTAATATCTCATTTAAACGTTAGAAGTCTCCGAAACAAGTCGGACCATATTTGTCATTATTTATCCGATAATATGATTGATGTTTTTACTTTGTCAGAGACCTGGCTTGATGAAACTATTGAAACACAACAGTTGAATATAGATGGATATGTTTTTGAACGGAAAGATCGAAATGCTAGTGGTGGTGGAATTGGATGTTATATCAAAGGCTCAATTTCTTACACTAGAAGGTCTGATCTTGAACAGGAAAATCTAGAAGTGTTATGGATAGAGATCAAATTGAAGCAATCACAACCATGGTTTGTGTGTATTGTATACAGACCTCCAAATAGTACAATGGACTTTTTTGAAACGTTAGAAAATAATATAAAAAGAGCTAATGATATTACATCCAACATCATCGTCCTAGGTGACCTAAATTGTAACATTCTTGTCAAAAACACACTTTCTAGAAAAATACAGAACTTATGTGATTGTTTTAATTTCTGTCAGCTTATTAGGAAACCAACCAGAGTAACACCCACCAGTCGATCTTGTATTGATCTTATTTTTGTACCGTCCGTTGAGAGTGACTTCCATTCAGATGTAATTTCTTTGGGGATTAGTGATCATTCTTTAGTGTATGTTAACCTGAAGAAGGAGTGTATTCCGAAAAAGCCAGCTATTAGTAAGTTTAGATCTTTTCGTAAATTTGACCAAGCTAAGTTTGTGAGTGACGGGGAAAAACTTCCTTGGTCTAACTTTTACAAAGGCAATGATGTTGAATCTTTATGGGAATATTTCAAATCGAGCTTTAATCAGTTGTGTAATAAACATGCTCCTATTGTTAGTGTTCGTAGAAAATCAATGGATCACCGTGGATAACGGATGATTATTTGAAATTAGCTTGTGAACGTGACTTTTTAAAGGCGAAATTTGATAAATCCGGAAATGAAGATGAGTGGAATAAATATAAAAAGAAGAGAAATGCTGTAAATAATCTTAACAAAAAACTTAAAAGAGAATACTATTTTTCTGAGTTTAATGAGCACCTTGGTGATCCCCGCAAAACTTGGAAAACATTAAAGAAAGTGTCGTTTAAGAAGAAATCGGGAGATAGAATCGAGCTGATAAAGGATGGATATGTAATTGATGATTCTAAGTGTATTGCATCAATATTCAATGAATATTTCACTCAAACTGTTGGTCGATATGATACTGAACATACCTTTAATGAATTACATGAGTTAACTGATGACATCTTTATGTGTGTTTCTATAGGAGAGGATTTTGTTCTCAAAGAGCTTTCCAAATTATCTATTTTTTAAATCTAGTGGTATTGACAATCTACATCCACGTCTTTTGAAGCTTGCTTCACCATTCATTACAAAACCACTTAAACATTTGTTAAATTGTTCACTCTCCACTGGTTCTGTTCCTGTTGAATGGAAGAGCGCAAGGGTAACGCCTATTTTTAAGGGCGGAGACAAGAAAAGCCCATCCAACTATCGTCCGATTTCGGTTCTTTCACATATTGTTAAGATTTTAGAAAAGGCAGAACACTCCCAATTGTATGATTTTCTCAATGATAATGCTCTTCTCAGTGATAGGCAATCAGGCTTTCGACCGCTTCATTCAACAGGAACGGCGCTAGTTGATGTAAATGATTTCTTACTAAGGGGGATAGACAGGGGTCTTATCTCCGGTGCATTATTTTTGGACCTAAAACGTGCGTTCGATTCGGTGAATCACGATATTTTACTCTACAAATTAGACAAGTATAGTGTAAAAGGAAAAAAATTGGCCTGGTTTAAAAGTTACTTAAGTGATCGATTACAATGTGTTGTGGTTAAAGGTGCTCAGTCTGGATTTAGAGGTGTAAATACTGGAATCCCACAGGGATCAATATTGGGCCCCCTTCTTTTTACTGTTTTTATTAATGACCTCTGTAATTTGCCCTATTGTGAAAAAGATGACTTAATGTTGAATATCAAGAAGCGTAAGATCATGTTATTTGGGACAAGAAAACGAATCAAAAATCAAAGTGTACGCTTGATTTACAGAGATAATGTTATAGAAGTTGTAAATGAATTTAAATATCTTGGTGTATTATTTGATAATTGTTTAAAGTGGGATATACATATATCGAAAACTGTCTCCAAATATCTAGAACCACATCATGTATAAAACGAATTAAATATTATTTGCTGAAAAGAATTTTAAAATTGTTATATGATAGTTTAATATTGTCACATATTGACTACGGTATTGTTTTGTGGGGATGTTCAGCAAAGTGTCATTTGGAATAGTTACAAAAGTTACAAAATCGTTATGCCCGTTTAATACTAAACGTAGATATTTTGACACCTCGTATTATATTATTATCATGTCTAAGATGGCAATCAGTTGTTCAGAGAGTGCAATATCAATTTAGAATACGGATGTATAAGGTGATTAATAATAAAATGCTACCAGATATGCAACTACCTGTCCTCTATTCATTAAAAAACACAAAACCGAGTATTTCAAAAGATCTTTCTGTTATCAAGGCTCCGTTATATGGAATGCATTACCCCCTTCTTTACGTTTATTAAACTCACTGGATTCATTTAAAAACAATGCAAACTCCTTTCTCTCACATAGTTTAAAATAGTACTTACATGAATATTTTACCCCCCCCCCCTCCCCATTTATTTCAATATTTTATCTTGCTTAATTTTTGTGTTCATTATAACTTATGTATGTTTATATGTTTTGTAAAAATGTTTTTGATTATGTTGATACAGGGCCCCTTGGTCGAGCAGTTTTTATAACTGAAAGGGCTACCCTGTCAAAATAAAACAACAAATAAATAAATCCATTCCCAATTTGAGATTTGCATAGACTTCGCGATCTCATATTTTAAAAATTCATAACTTTCTTATTAATAGTCCTATTTATTTCAAACTTTCGCCATTCTGTTTATATAAATCTTATTTTTTTTCTTTCATACAAGTTAAGTTATTACAAGGGTTGGACTGCCTGTAAACAAGGAAACAATGCGTTTGTGGCTAAAAAGAGATGATTTAGTGAAAAAGCCCAAGGATACTTGGATACTGTTATGAATTGAATATGACATCAAATTTCATGAAGACTCGTATCATTCAAGTAAATAATAAAAAGGTTGAATATTGATCACACTCATAGCTTAAAGCCTAATATCCCAAATTACTCAAATAAATGCAACACACAGAAGTTTGCAGGTCTACATGTAAGTCTCCTTATCAATTTTTTTTTTTTTTATTGATCTCCACATTGTTCACTCAGACTTTCCACACACAACATCAAACTCTAGATCTGTTCATTCAAATGCAAATTAGGTTATAAAACCTACAGTGGAAAATGAAGAAAAAAAAATGTTTTTCTCAACAGAGTGTATCTTCTGTCTGGAATCAAACCTCAATTATTCTTTTGTGAGAGAATTCTTTTTATGACTTTTGACTTCATGCACTTGGCAGGGTATCCAACCCCTCTCTCTCTCTCTCTATTTTTCTCCCTCCCTCCCCTCCCATCTCCCTTTCTCTCTTTCTCTCTCTCTATCTCATAACACCGGTTGAATAAACATTACAAATGCATGTTAAAGGTGATAGTCAACATTAAAAAACATTTCTCTAGTGATTTTATTATACATAAATCTATCTCAATATGTTGAAAAAGTGCATTTTGAAAATTTCTAAGCAGACTCAACGTAGGCCTATTAAAGTAGCCTAAATAGAAGTGCTTAAAAAGAGAATTTTCGAGAGTATCTTTTGCCTAATTGTTTTCTCTATGTCAATACATTGCAAAGTTTTATAACTAAGACCCGGCCGGCCTCCAGCTTGTGTAAAATCTATGTATATCTATGTTGTTGAGTGCAATGAATAGTACAATTGAATTTAATTCAAAGGAACAATACTTGGAACATGTATCTACTTCATGGGATACTAACTTTTCCAACAGGAAGTAATTGCCAGCCAAGATGCGACCTCTGACGGTGTCTAAGAAACCCTCGTGTCTGCTCAGAGCATATAACTCTTCAGTTGACCTGCCTTCAGAGCTCCGATGACCTGTATAACAGATAATAATGATATACATTGTAAAGCCATACAATATATTTTTTAACGTTTCAAGCTTATCAAAATATTTCAAGACAATTTCGAGTCCCGCCGTTGCACTAATGTCCTTTGGCAAGACATTGATCTACATTTGCCACACTCCACCCAGGTGAAGTAAATGGGTACCTGGTTGGAATTTATTCCTTGAAACGCAGCGCGCGTAACAGCTGCACTGCTAAAGCCAGGGTAATTATACTGCATTATTGTAGAGCGCTAAGAGACTTCTGACAAAGTAAGTGTTAGGCGCTATATAAGCACTGTAATTATTATTATCATAAATCAGATGTTTCTTTTGTCAAAAGTTAACCTTTCACATGCCATCAGTGCCAGTTGGCACAGTGACTTCTTTGCTTCACATGCAGATTGGCACAAAACAATATTTCAAGATAATTTCCATCATCATTCAAATGTTTCTTATGCCAAAAGGTATGTATCTGTACCACTTTGTAGCCCGTACTGTGCAATAAACCTGTAATGTGGTTATAATCATCTCATCATCATCTCATCATCACTATCAATTGTGTGAAAACAACATTTCATAGTTGGCACATGGTACAAATGACCTCAAATATCAAGCAGTGGTGGAAGTACTTCATGAAAACATTGTTTCCATGGTGAATAGAATATACTTCCAACAAGTATAAGATTGGTGCATATAATGAATGATGATTACATAACTTCATGAGCACAAGGGCAGTATGTACATCAAGTATTCTTCTCAGAGGGTTATACACTTATGTATCAATGACCAGTTTGGCAATTGGCTTATTCTAAGCCATATTTTTTTTTTTTGGCCCTCGAAAATTAAAAAAAAAATCAAAGGCCCACTGCACTACTTGTAGCTACTTGCGCCCTCTCTATATTAAACAATGCCTAATCCGTGATCATTGGTCCCCCATGATCCTCTTTTTCTTGTGTTAACTGAGAGCTGAGTTGATGAGATAGCCACCTGTCCAGTGACCTTGCAGGGCAGTCTTATCCCTCCTATAAACTAGTACTGATAAGCTTTAAGATTCATACTGATGTACATATGTTCACCAAAATAATTTGAGTTGTGGAATGGTCTATGTACTGTAATCAAGCTATTCAACAGTTAAAATGAGAGTTCCTTAAAGGTAAAGACCAGTATTGGAAACGCCCCCATTTCAAAAAATGAAATGGAAGCTCTTATTACCAATCATGTGAAAGAATATGTTTTGACTAATACATGATGATAACAATTTTGCTGGGAAACCGCCTACTTATTGATACCTTTGGTAAATTAGTTTATCTATTGGGATGTGAGAGATATTACGCACATGCTTTACATGTGTAAAGGCTTGTAACTTTACCAAGACTGGGCCAAATTTCTTATCATTTTGATGGTTCTAGAACCTTGCAGTAAGCTAGATGATCAACCTTTTCTGATCGACTCCACAACGTTTCTTTCACAATGCAATCGCATGACCAGAACTGATCTTTATCTTTAATATTTTATCACAATATAATTCTTTTCGTAAGTTAATAAAGAATAAAAAAGCACTGTAAAAATAAAACAAAATAATGCTTGGTTTGGTGTCACAGAGAAGCACATCTAATAACATTGAAGTAAAGTAGTAAACATATTTGGGCTACGGTTGTGCATACCTGTGGTTTGCAAAATAAACAACTTTGATGAGAGTCTAAAAGGGAATGTTTCATTGAAACTTTAAGTAAACATGTTATTCAACATGAAAAGTAATGAGCCAGAACATTCAAACGAGTAAATGACAAAACAACAGTTTGTATATATGAGCCACTATTGGGCCAAAAAGAGTTAACTGTTTTAATTATTTCACAGGCCCTTGAAGATTCGGGGGGGGGGGGGGGGGGGGGGGACGAAGTACACAAACAAAATATAGCAAGGAGTATTTCAGGGATCTGTTTAAGGTGATAGGACAATTTTTTTATAAATAAGTGGAAATTCGTTGTATTTGATGTAGCTATTTAAAAACATTCCAACTAAAGTACTTTGTAAATTGCATCATCACAATCATCCAATAAATAGCAATAATGTGTATATAAAAAGGATCAATCTTGTATTACACAAAAACTTTGACTCATTCGAGGACTGGAAATTAGAAATTCATTACGAAAAAAATCACAAAAAAAAATCAGATTGTTTCATATCATTTCCCTAGGGAATCGTTTGATATGATTTCCCTCATACTATTTCTTTTTGTGAATCTGAACCAATAGTTTGAAAATGATGATGCATTTGAATCAAGTGCGCAGACTAAACTACCAATATGGTTAAAGCTAGGTGCATGTGCCCGGGACCTGAAATGAATGGATACCATCATCATAATTGCAACCACTTAGTGTACTCATGGTTTTGTTTCCACACTTGAATATTCATCTATTGCACAATGGTCTTCAGCAGGGTGGGGCATTATTGCATGCTTTCAAGCAATATTATAAAAACAATATCAGTATTAATTTTTGTAAGAGGCACAATAGGACTCATCACATTTTTAATGACATCAATTCAGTTTGTTGATAACTTAATTGGTGAAAATTGCAGGAGAAGAAAATTATTGTTTTTAGATGCCAAAGCAATTTCCAATCAACATATTAACTAAAAGTATATTTTGTTTAAACCTTGTGTGCATATGAATATCAACCACTTATGCTAATGTATTAAAGCTATTTTTGGGGGTTAAAATGAAGATTTTCAATTATTTGTTTATTATTCATTTGCCAAAATACATCGATAATTCGATATAAACAACATTCATATTCAAAAGAGAAACAACTGGTTGAATACCCTGGCCATGCCAGCTTGCTTGTCTCAGTTGTCTGGGTATGGAAACTTAACTTATTAACCACCAACCGCAGGGTCTTCCTCCCAATGTACCTACTGCAGAGGCATGATAAACATCATATCTTGTTTTCATACAGTCATAGTAACATAGTTATATAGGGCATGTCCCCTATATAACGATGAAAGGGAAAACTTCATCATGAGCCTATCAACTCGCACTCAACATCAATTACAATTAGTTCCTCCTCATCTTGTGGCCGTCGTCATCACAAATCTCATCCTCTTTGGAGTTAATGACGACCCACCCATAACTGCCCAGGCCCTGGATTATCATGCTGCATCCCTAACATTCATCTTAGATATGCACATTAAACGTTCTGTTGTGAACAAAGCAGCTCCTGCATAAGCTGTGATCTTCACGTCTTGCGATCTTTGATAGTATATACCCAGTTTTGTATTGACTCTACTATCTATTTACTCATTCTGCGAAGGATACACTCCGCAGTTCTCCAATCCTGGAGGAAACCAAGAAGAAGAAGAAGAAGAAGAAGGTCACTGTATTTATTTAAGATTACTGAGTTTTATACTCATCAAAGCTTTGAAAACAATTAAGTCACAACATCAAGAACAAAGGAACTGTTGATTCTGAAATGTAGGAAATGGGAAGTCAATCCATTCAATTCACTTAAACCAGATATATGGATCTGAACTTAGAATTTCATTGCATTCACTAAAGTCATGATACATCAAACTGATACAGTCAAAGTCAATGTTGTTTTCAAAATATCATGCACAAAAAACATCCCAATTATTCTGCGCAATATTCCAATGTGGGTTGATGTGGGTGAGGGTTTCTGTGTGTGACGGTTGGACTCATTTGTTAAATAATTAGTCTACTACATCATGTAGTCCCTTCTATTCACCCACTAGAACATGCTTGACAACGCCCTAAAAACAATGAAAGACGAGTGTGGGATGCGGCGCGGGAGAGTTTGCAGGTTTTGCTGTCATTTAATTGTCAAGCACATTCAATGCATGTGAGTTGCACCTTGTCCTCTGCTTACTATATTTCTTGTTTTCAAACTCTATTCAAACGTTACATCTTTTAAACGATGTCATCCTTGACTGAATAGACCCTTAATTCTTCTCTTTTTCACCTCGGCTCTTCCTCATTCCATCGGCCACCTCTTTCCCTTTTCTTCTCTTTCTCCCCACGTACTGCAGAGCCATGGGAAACATCATATCTTGTTTTCATACAGTCATAGTAACTTCCAAACAGAAGGTGAATATGAATATGAATATCAATCATTCACGCCAAACTCAAACCATTCATGGATGCAGATATTCTTTTGAAATATACTAATGATGTACCGTATATGAAGGCGGTGAAAAATCCCTTAAAAAATCCCTTGAAAAATCCTCACAGGGGAGAATTTTCTTGCTTCGTTAGAGGATTTTTAATTGGATAATGGATATCAGACAGCAATTAAGAGGAAAACTAAAATCCGGATTTTTGGCCTGTGTGTGACCACGCCTACAGACTCATTGATGAAATGTGCTTGAATTAGAGACAAAAGAGGGTTTCTAGGGAGCTAAGTAAAAAGCCTAACTCACATCAGAGTCAACGAGTCAGGAACAGAAAGAACAAAATAGAAAAGGAGCGCCCTGCTCACCCACTATATCATGACAACGCCCTAAAAACAGTGATAGACAAGTGTGGAATATGGGAAAGAGTTTGCAGGTTTTGCTGTCAATGAAGCACATCCAATGCATGTGAACTGCACCTTGGCCGGTATTCAATTCAATACTTAGCATTAGTAAGAAATTTACCAAGTAAATGGCTAAGTTAAGTAATTTACTTATCTCGTATTCAAATAGAATTTTAGACTTATACTTACGTAAGACAAAATCTAAGTAAAATACTTACTGATAAGCATTGTGACGTCACACTGTCAATCAAAAGTAATGCGCAATTGATGTGTTATAATACTGTGTAAGAAAACCATATGCCTGCCAATCAAGGCCTCCAAATAATTGGCTTAAGTCTGGTATTGAGTTGACTTAGATTTAGAGTAAAATACTTTGCCAAAAGTGTGAATTGAATACCAAAATTGGCTAAGTATTTTATCTAAACCAAACACTAAGTAAAAAGCTTGAATTTTGTACATAAGTATTGAATTGAATACAGGCCCAGGTCCCTAACTGCTTTAATATTCTAGATTACTGTG